ATCTCAGTCAGCTGTGATTTTTAAAATGAGAAATGAAAGGGAGAAGCAACACCTGCTAGTGAGTTCTAACACTTGTTACCAGCTCAGGAATTTGTCCTTCCATTGCTGTGCTGGTGATGGTTCATGTCCCCAGTACTTACCACCCCACTGGAAGACTTGGTCTTCAACTCTAACTTGACCATTCCAAATCCTGAAAATAAAATAGCACACAGCACCTGTTTCATTGACAGATACAAACAAGGCTTATTTCCAACACACCCAAAGAATGCCAGACAGGGGATTCTGAACTGACCTGAAACAGCTTTTACGTTTAAACAGTTGTGGAACATATTGAGGGTTATGAGAAGGACGATTGAAGGAGTTGTGACAGCTCAAAGTAAGTTTTCTCATCATTTATATATATAATTTATAACTATAACAGACACCAACCATCAAATACCTTCACTTTCTGTAGCTACCTGCAGTCTGGCACCCATCAGTACAGTTAACCAACTCTTCTGATTTACTTAATTTACATTTTATTCCTGATTTCAGGGCAGGAAATTTTTCTTCTCCACTACTCCAAGAAAATATTTCAACTTATTTCAATCAGTGCCATGTACAGAAGTATTACTGATGGAAGGAGTTGTGACAACTCAAAGTTTTCTCATAATTTATATATATATAATTTATAGTCATAACAGACACCAAACATGAAATACCTCCACTTTCTGTAGCTACCTGCAGTCTGGCACTCATCAATACATTTAACCAACTCTTCTGATTTACTTAATTCACATTTTATTCATGATTTCAGGGCAGGAAATTTTTTTTCTCCTCTACTCCAAGATTTCAACTCCAAAATATTTCAACTTATTTCAATCAGTGCCATGTACAGAAGTGTTACTGCTTTCTTCCTTTTCTTTCTGCTCTGAATCCAGGGAAATATCTGGCCCTTGCACTAAGTAGAAAAGTTTGAAATAACTGACTTTAAAGCAGGGAATTTGAGTTGATTTTTAACAAAGCCTGAACTCCAGGGTGGGAGAGACCAGACCACAGTGCATTTCAGGGATTTTGGGATAAAAATGAAATCTTTATTGCACACCAACTCAGATTTTAAAAAATCAACACTTTCTAGTACTATTTCCAGAAAAGGGACAAATGCAAATACTGTGAAAATATCTGCATTCCAGCTTTAATATTAAGCTATTCTGATTAACATAAAGGTCACTCTTCCTCAGGAACCTGTTACTGCCACAGCAATCTATATCAGTATTTCTGATTTAATGACTCTAAATAGAAAAATCAGAAGGTAAAAAATGGAGGCAGCATTTTTCAGTCTGTTCTGGAGTGCATATTAAGGTCAAACTTTTAATCTTCCCCTCAAACTCTCTGCCACTGCAGCACTATCATAACACAAGTGCAAAATTCAGAATAAAAAGGGGCTGGATGCTCCAGGGCTCTGCTGGGAAGGTTTTAGGGAATCTCTGAGGTATCTGTGTTCTTACAGGCATTTTCAAGATACTGATGATCAAACCATCCTCATCTCACTCACCATATCCCTTGTTGAAAACATCCCTGGCAGACTTTCCCAAGTCACTGTATGACGGTGGGCAAGCCATTGGATCTGAAACACATAATTTATAATCATAATAAGGAAGCTGCAAGAACCTGAGCGTCAAATCTAAAATACATCCAAAACATTAATTAACATCCATGATTAGCAGGCTCTGAGAATGTCACCAACACAGAACTGTCAGATCTTTGGAGAATGTTCATCAAAGTCATCGTTGCTGCTTCGTCCAAAACAAGCTTGGATTTAAAGAATTTCTAAAAGCCAATCTTCATTTATAATCACTGAACCCCAGCTATTAAATTCCATTAAATGCTGGCCTCGCAGTCTTGCATTGCAAAAAGAACTCATGGGAGCCTCATTGCTGTTCTGATAATGAGGAAACGTTGCTTTTGTGATAACACCCATTCTGAAAGGGACCTTGAGTGACAAACAACATCAACACTCAACAATTCCAAAGGAAAACAGGTGTCACTTCCATCTGCACTTATACTTCACAAAAAGCTTTTTCAAAGATGTGAAAAATATGAAAGAGATCTCTCTATAATATCCAGTAGCCATCAGTATTTCAGCACTGTGCACACAGAACAGCAAAAACTAAATTTCCTAATATTGTTACAACTACATGAGAACATAGCTCAAAAGGATGGGCATGTAATATTGCAGTGTAGATGGTTTATTAGCTACCAAAATTTAGGGGTTTTGCATCAGAAAACCCACAGTAAAGGCCAACTCTTCTCCAGTGGAAATTAGTCTTCCTCTTTTCAAATAAGTTTGCATAAATGTAAAGCAAAGGTATAAAAGATGCTGCTTTCATTTGATTTTAAGGACAACTCTTTGTCATCCAAAAAGGTGACATTTAGGATTTCTGATGTTGGGTGTTGCAGAGAAAAATATGAACAAATGCAGCAGCAGTAGGAATAGCAATCTCTTGTGTTTATACCTCATTTTAATAAGGCTATTGAGAAAAACTGTAAGCCTGTTCACTCTCTAACAGTACGCAGGTATATGTTGTGCGCTCTGTGTGTTTAAATGTGTTTGTTAAATTTGATGCAAGCATTTAAATGGTATTAAAAAAAGAGAGATTGTCGAGGTTAGCCCATACTGAACCACATAAATTCTTTGCTAACAAGCAGCTCTGCTTGGACAACAGACTTGAGCTCGGTTTCACAACTCCTAACATTAATTTTGAATGGTAACAGGTGACGAAGCACAGCGTGAAGCGGGAAAGGCAACACAAGAACACCCGCATCGCTCTGTGGGATAAATATAAAAAACCAAAACCGTCCAAAAAACCAAACCAAACAATGAATCCTCGCACAAGCACTGACACCACCCGTGCGGGCGTTTCCCGTTCCCTGAGGGCTGCGGCGGGGCCTGGCCGCGAGCACCGCGCGCCCCTTTGGCGGCGGGGCCGGCGGGGCGGCGGCTGCGCGGCCCCGGGAGCGCGAGCGCCGCGCCCGCCGCGGCTCTGCCCGCGTTACGCAACGGGTAACGGAGCCTCCGCCGGCCCCCGTGCCGGCGCCGTGGCAACACTCGCTGCCCTGCTCATGAGTTCGTGCCTCCCGGCTGACATAACCGGAGCAGCCGGCAAGAGCCCCGGCCGCGCGGCCTCAGACAGACAGAACCGGCCGCGCATCCCGGGGCCGCCCCTTGGGCAGCGTGTGGGCCTGTGGGTGAGGAATTGCCGCCGCAGCGAGCGGCCGGCGCCTCCTCGGGCCTCCAGCAAGGGGACGCCCGCCTCCGCCTCGGTGAGGCGCGGAGGACAGCAGCGGGCTGCAGGCGGCCAGCGCCGCGAGGCCCGGCCCGGCCCCACCCTGAGCCCTGAGCCCCGCCGCGGCCCCGGCGCTACCTGCCGCCCGCGCTGCCTCCGGTACGGCTCTCGGCGCCCCCACGTCCGCATGCGCGGCGCCGGCGCTGCGCACGCGCCCGGGCTGCGGCCCCGCCCACCCCCGCGCGGCCCCGCCCCGCCCCGCCCCGCCCAGTGCGCGCGGCCGAGGCGCGGCGGGAGCGCGCCCGGCGCTGCCGCAAGCGGAGCCGGTGCCGCCGGTACCGAGCGGCGCTTCCAGGGATGGAGAACTGCGGAGGTGTTCAGTGCCTGCCAGAGCCGGTATGAGACTCCAGCGGGCACTAAGGGTCCTCTCAAACCCTTCACGCACTGTGAAAAATGAATATTTTATGATTGGCTATATATAATATATATAAAATACAGCATAATATGTATAATACATAGTATATAAAATATTATATATTATATATAATATATATTATCTACATTATTATGGACATATAATATATATGTATTATATATATATTAGATGTATATATATGTGTATATATAATATGTATATATAAAATAAATATAATACATACTATGTAAAATATTATATATAACATATAATATATATAGTATAATATATATCATATATATAATACATAGTATATAAAATATATATACTATATATTATATATAATATATATTATATACATTATGTGTATATATAATATATATAATATATATGATATATATTATATCTAATATATATATTAGATATATATTATATATGATAGATATATATATTATATAGATATAATACAATATAATATAATTATATAATATTATATATATAATAGATATAATACAGCATAACTTTATATATAATAGATATAATACAGCATAACTTTCTAACATTACACACATATGTGTTATCTTATAAAGTTATGCAGTATTAATTTTCTCAAGTATTGTGTTAATTATAGTTTTAGGTTATAAACAATGTTAAAATAGAAATTATGATTATGCTATGTAATATACTTTATTTTATAGCAAGGACTCAGCCTTCCTATAATGGAGCCGGTATGAGACTCCAGCAGGCACTAAAGGTGCTCTCAAACCCTTCACCCACTGTGAAAAATGAACATTTTATCATTGGCTTTTTGCAAATATTAAAATGAATATTGTATGTGTTACGTTTCTGTACCCAGGAAACATTTGTGAACATGGTAAACACATGTTACTGCCTTTTGATCTTCTAAAATTACAGCAAATAAAATAATAATCAAACAGCACTATACATTCATGAGAGACTATTCAATTTGTTTATTCCCACTGATAACTGAAGAAAATACTAAATATTTCAGCTATGTATATATTTTTACAATGAGGCATCAAAATACTTTACATAGCACCAAGTTAACTTCTAGTTTTCTTCCATACTACTGCATGCATTAGCACTGGGGAACATTCCCAGAAAATAATTAAAACTCCTGACAAGAAAAATGGAAGAAATTCAATGGGTAATTAAGAGCATCAGTAATGTCCATTACTAAGATTCATCAACTCTCCCTGTATAAGTTGAAAATGGAATTGTTCTGCAGGCTTAAATTAAATGAAAATAAGACAAAGTATTGAAATACACAGCATAAGCAGTATTGCTGCTGCTGTAATTCATGGAAGTAGTTACTAATTAGAATTTTTTTAAGTTAAATAACAGAATCCCTGTCCCAAACACAACCAGTAATGCATTATTGAAAAGACCTCGTCTCACATCCAAAATACTCATTACCCTTCCCAACATGTAAAGAGGAGGTGTAAAATAAGATTTGACAGGTTTGCATCTAAAAAAAGGGCAGATTGAATCTGCAGGAGTGGTAGCAATGCATAAATTAATCAGACCAAGCCAAATAAAACAAAGAGCACTGCAATCAATATTACAACATGTCTAGGAACAAAATTCACAATTCACATGTAACAGGAGAATGGCCACCATAGCATGGAGCCCATATTGAAAGATTTTAGAAGGATAAACTCATCATGAGCTTCAGCACTGCACCAAGACACCTAACACAGGTGTGAGGAGATAGAGAATAGTTAAAAATGGTACTTTTCAGGAGTGCTTCATGATACTCAGCATTTTTTCATTCTGGTATCTACATAAATATGAGATACAAAGAGAGATGCTGGGGGCCCCATCCCTGGAAACATTCAAGGGCAGATTGGACTCTAAGCAATCTTCTCTAGTCAAAGATGGGGCTCTAAGCAATGTTCTCCAGTCAAAGATATCCCTGCTCATGGCAGGGGGACTGGACAAAATGGCATTTAGGGGTCCCTACCAACCCAAATTATTCTGTGACTACATAAAAATGAAATCTCACGGGATTTTTCTTCACGACACATTCTGTTCTGTTCAAGTGCCATGGATGTGCTTTAGACATCAGTAATATACAGTTTTTCAAGTAACATTCAAGGTAAGACTATGCACTTCCACATCTTTGTAAAAGCTATGAAAATATCTCTGTAAGCTCTAAACCCAGACAAGCAGTTTGTTATTCACTCCGGTCCTTTGGCTCTCGGTATTTCCACTGGATATAATCAAAAATGTCTTTTTCACATTCCACTGGCAGGGCCTCTCCAGCAACTCCTGCAAGGAAATGACACAGGATATTTGAAAGGTGGAAAAGCCTGTACCATTCAGAAATGGCAAATGCATGGCAAGATTAAGACAAAACTGCTGTAAGTAAAAAAAACCTGAAGAAACCACCCAGAACAAAATTTTCATAGTGTTTACATGCTGATTCTTATTAGTGTCAAAGGAAATAATGAATTAACTTTGGGCCATGTGGTTATGCAGGTAAATAAATTTATAATTTTGTGTGGGTTTATATAGTCAACTCTCCTCCAAAGCAAAGCAACTAAAGAACATGACACACCCTGTGAAAAGAGGAGGAAACCAAATATGTGCTGTGCACAGCACAGAAAAAAATAAATCTTTAAATCAACTAAGACTTTAAGTAGATTAGAAGGCCCAAAGAGATAACCTTGTGTAAGCAGGCTGCACCTTCTTGCTGTAAGGGTGCCCAATATCAAAAAGGACACAGTGAAAAATTCCACAAAATATTGCATTTATCAGAAATATTTCCAAAAAACAATAATAACCAATTGAAGGAAACCACACAAAGTGCATAACTTGGAAAGCAGGAAGAGTAGAAAGAGTAGAAAGAAGGGAGAGAAGGGAGAGTAGGGAGAGTAGGGAGAGTAGGGAGAGTAGGGAGAGTAGGGAGAGTAGGGAGAGTAGGGAGAGTAGGGAGAGTAGGAAGGGTAGGAAGGGTAGGAAGAGTGGAAAGGAGTAGAAAGGAGTAGGAAGGAGTAGGAAGGAGTAGGAAGGAGTAGGAAGGAGTAGGAAGGAGTAGGAAGAACAGAAACATTAGAAAGAACAGAAAGAGTGGAAAGGAGTGGAAAGAAGGAGCAGAAAGAGTAGAAAGGAGTAGAAAGGAGCAGAAAAGAGCAGAAAAGAGCAGAAAGGATACTCTGTGCAAGAACTCAGACTGACCAGTAACACCCAGGCGGCGTATTGTGTACTCATTGATGGTGAAACCCATCTCCAGAGCATGAGCTCTCATGTTTTTATTGAATATATCGCTACCTGTGAAATACAGCACACCACAGTAATACTGATCTTTTGGGATAAGCCTAGAAGAAAAAGGAAAAGGGAAAACTTAGAACAAATACAATTTAAAATTCAGTATTCAGACACGTGTAGGTTTACTCTGTGTTCATGTGCGTACATTCTGCAGCTCTGTACATTGAATTTTCCCACAAACCAGATGCAAAAGTGAAGGGAACTGCATATGAAAGGAAGGTTCAGCATATCTACCCTTCCCCAGAAATTACTGGTGTAACTATCTGGTTATGGTGCTGGCACTCCTGCGCAGAGTCAGCGTCAAAGCAGGATGATAAAACGGGACAATTCTGATATTCTATCAGAATATCATGATTGGAAGCACAGCATTATTGCCGATAACCTGTTGTAATTACTGGCAGTTGTCCAGTGGCTGCCACATTTCAAAGGCGTTAGAAAAATAGTAAATGGCCATGTTATGAACACAGAAGTAGATATTTGAATGAAAATTTTATGCAAATGCCTGCTCTGTAGCAGACAGCTGAACTAGGAGGATTTTGATGCACGTACCTGATATCAATCCTGCGGTGTGGATAAGCTGTTCCATCCTCTTTATCTGGCAGCTGGCAGACACCCTGTGAGGAAATAATGCAGGAGACAAATTTAGATGAAATTCAACAGATTTGAGAACCATCTTTACCTTCCCATCCCTAAAAAACCTCTAAACAATCCTCAACTATCCTGGAAAGCAAAGTTAAATCCTTGCTGAATTGAATAAATATTTTACTGGAACAGCCAGATATCAGAATACAGTGAATCACTATTTTACACTCTTGTGTAAAATGTGTTGCTTAGTGTAACATATAACTGCTGCTTAAATTTTTATTGCACCAGGAAGGATCCTCATTTCCCTGTCATTATTATCAGGCTTTTCAGTATGCACAAATATCAGCAGGTTAAGAAAAGAAAAAAAGCCCTGCACTGTCAGCATGGAATCTAAAAAATTAAAGTTTTTGTAATTTATTACTTGTTTTAGGCATCTCACATAATCCCTATTATATCCTACATCTAGGATATAATAATAATCTAGCTTATTCATTAAATCTGACACAAAAAGAACAAAAGTATATTATATATTAGACAAAATCAAGAAAACACAGTTCTGAGATCAAAGCTAAATGTTTCCAAGATCCTGAGGACAATTACAGAAGTGGTCACTGTGCAACTGAAGAAGTCAAGTTGTGCTGAGGTTCCAGGACAAAATTGACATTATGTGATGAAGGTTGTGTCAGCAGGGTTCAGAACTACACAAATATCTGTGTATTTACTTTCTAATATTTATATAATAATATATAATTTTTATATAAATATATATTTATATATGGGATTTATATAATAATATATAATAATAATAATACTGTGTCTTAAACTTTCTAATTCTGAAATCTCACCATAAGAGTTACCTGCAGGAAATTCTTATGAGTTTAAAAAACAAACCCACAGCACCCCCATGTCCAGCAGTGCCAGCAATTGTATTCATCCTGACTTCTGTCAGGAAAACAAATCCCCCACAACATCCTGCACCACCAAAAAAGCTCTTACCATGAATTTGGTGTCCCCTTTAGACAGCATATCTGTGATAAAGTGGACTTTTTCCAGCTGTTCTACAACTTTATGCAAAAGTTTTGACTAGGAATAATAGTAAGAAAGAAGAAATTACTTCACAAATAACAAGAATATCTTACCTACATTTACTAGATAGAGGCTCCAATAAGTATAGGACATCATTATAATTATATGTACTACTCTACATGAAATTTGACCCAAACGGAAAAAAATGTAACAAAAATAATGGGAAAAAGCTGATAAAATTACAGTTGTGCAAGATAAAAACAATTTCCACCAATATTGAGATTGCCTTTAGTTGGAAATGACAAATCTAATTCAGCTTTTAAACAACAAATCTGTAGAAGGAACATAAGAAAAAAATAAACACTGTCATTAATGCTACTTCAGAATTAGTCCCAAAAGATTCCAAGGGCAGCAGGACAGTTTCCTATCAGCTAAATGATTTTGGTAGCCAAAATCAAGAAATAATCAGACTACCTTTAATCCAGCTAGCTTTACAGTGCTGCATTGTTAAAGCACAGGAATTCAAGGGAGTGGGGGAATATGTGTGACAGGAAGAAGGAGAGAAGGGTAAAAATAAACATATTGAGTAGTTCTGAGAAATAATTATAACTCCTCAAAATAAACAGGGCAATCCAAGAGAAAATTTCAATATTACAGTAAATAAAAAACCACAAAAAGCTGCAATACAAGCCTGAGACTGTAAGCAATGTACAGTTCTGATCTGTGGCATCTGAGAAAAGCACCTGTTTGGTTGATTCTGATGTGAAACTGGGATGGGTCAGGAGAACATCCATGTCACCACTTGACTCTGCACCTGGGCAAGAAAGAAGCAAAGAAAAATTCAATATACTAATGTTGCTGAACATACATCTTACCTCTTGTAAACATGATTTTCTAGCAGGGAATGTCACTATTAGCAAAAAAATAACCTTAAAGTAAAAGAATTTTGTTCTTTCATCAAAAGTTTATATTCTCCATACATAAAATATCCAAGAATTTCTTGCTGTAGTCTATAGCAATGAAGTAAAAACGTTGTTAATGTAAAAACAAAGCAAACAATTCATGTTACAAGATATTGCTCTTTATGGGTAGTATGTTGTAATGTGAATTGTTTGCTTTGTGGAGAACTCTTTATGGAGAAGCAAGGATTTATTCTGGTGTCTCATCACTGAACTAGCTAGACAAGACAATACCAACAGGAAAGGCCAGGGTTCCAGCACAGTCTGTCAAGAAGAACAACACACACAGTAACTTGTCTTGTTGTTATCCCAAAATAAAGAAAACAAGATCACAGAGCACCAACCTCGCCTAAAACTGCCACACACTGTAGCAATGTAGCTTGGGTCCAGTTTCTCTATCTCTTTGAGCACAATTTCCTATGTGAAAAGGAAAGAAATGTGTTTAGAAGTGGTCAGTCATTCACTGGCCATCAGTACATCACATTCTCAACAATGAGATTTTTACCTGCATTTGCAGCATTTCTTCCCTCGGGATTCTCTTCTCAAAATCTTCAAAGTATCTGCAAGTATGAAAATAGAGGTATCTGAGAGAGTGGTAGGGCAGCATCTTGAAATTTTAGTCAATTAAATGTATAGCAGAGGAAAGAATACTAACTAACACTACTGTCACATCACAAAAAGCTCCTGACTCTCATTAAACATCTCAGAAATCTTGCAAGGTGACAGTAAAAACTCACAGTTGTGAGTTTGACAATGCTCAGAACAGTTTCACTATTTCCACTGTACACAAAGAGCTGCTGTAAGGTGGGACAAGTATTACCATATAAATAAATGCTTAATGTTTACACAGCCCTCTGAAAATACAAAACGTTCCTGACAAGACTCAGCCCACCAGCAAGCAGGTTCCCCATCCAGGGTCAGAGCTGACCTATGTTGGAAGGAGCTAAATGGAAGCTCTCAACCCAAATACAGCTCCAGATATATTTGCTTCCATATATTCCATATATTGTAAAACTCAAATTGTCAGCAAGCGAAACACTTTTGGCTTTATTTGGTTCACCTGCAGCTTCTGACAAGCACAGCTATAGTTCTTCCAAAACCACCACAGCAAAGAGACTCTCAACAAACAGCACTGAAGCTGATGAATACTGAGGGACAAACACAACATTCTCAAGTTCAGACAGGCAAAGGTTACCTTGTTCACAGCACATAAAAAACCAGCCTGGACCACTTTTATGCAGATGGTGAAGAAACAACTCCACAACCTCACTAAAGTGATTCTCCACGAGCTAACTGAGCAGTTAGCTTGATATTAACTTCCCAAGCCTTCCATCCTAAATGCAACAAAAGCTCTAAATAACTGCTGAAAGGCAGAATGTAGAGCACAGAGAGACCCTTACTCAGCCTGTGTAACCTTACATTACACCCTGGTGTCTGAAGGAGGAGAGAACCTTACTCAGCCTGTGTAACCTTACATTACACCCTGGTGTCTGAAGGAGGAGAGAACCTTACTCAGCCTGTGTAACCTTACATTACACCCTGGTGTCTGAAGGAGTCACTAGAAACACCAAGCACTTGTACCCAAGGAAGCTTACTTCAACCCAATTCGCTGGTGATGGGTCAGCTTGTGCTCAATTTTTCTTAGATCTACAAAAAAAAAAAAATCCAAATAAAATAATTAACTGAGAACTAAACATCTTACAGTAAGTTTCTATCAATGCAAAGATGATGCACATAAAAAGAATACAACCTCAAAGGAGGGAATTTCAAATCACCTACACAGCAGCTGATAGGATGACCACAAATGCACAGAGCATTTCCAACAAGATTTAACAGACCACCAAAAAGCCAAAATCCTTGTTACCTTCTGTGTAACCTGCATGTACTTTGCTTTATATGAAAATATATGTATGAAACGTGTCTATATATGAATATATGTATGAAATATGTATATATATGAAACATGTCTATATATAAATATATGCATGAAACATGTACATATATATATGCATGAAGTATCTATATATATGAATATATGTATGAAATATGTATATACATGAATATATGTATGAAACATGTCTATACATGAATATATGTATGAAATATGTCTATACATGAATATATGTATGAAATATGTATATATATGAAACATGTCTATATATGAATATATGTATGAAACATGTCTATACATGAATATATGTATGAAACATGTCTATACATGAATATATGTATGAAACATGTCTATGCATGAAGTATGTATATATATGAATATATGTATGAAATATGTATATATATGAACATATGCATGAAATATGTCTATGTATGAATATATATATAAAACATGTCTATATATGAAACATGTCTATATATAGATATATGCATGAAACATGTACATATATATGAATATATGTGTGAAGTATGTATATATATAAATATATGTATGAAATATGTATATACATGAATATAGGTATGAAATATGTCTATATATGAAACATGTCTATATATGAATATATGTATGAAATATGTCTATATATGAATATATGCATGAAATATGTCTATATATGAATATATGTATGAAATGCCTTAAGCCTGTGCACCAGCTTTAGCATTTTACACACCCTCCTCAAAGCCTAGGGCATATCTGTTAGAAATATCACTGTGGAAAAGGCAGCATGACAGAAAAAAAGATTATTGGAGTGTGAACCAAGGCTTCATATTCACACTTACCTTCTAAAGTCTTAATTCCTTCCTCAACAAACTTCCTGGCAGCAGCAGGACTGCAAAGAAACAAGGGAATCTGGCATCAGGAACAGCAAGAATTTTACAACACCAAACAGGACATTATTTATAAGTGTGGGTTGTTTTTTTAAGACTGAGGTTGCTTGTGATGCTTACATCTTTTCAGCCGCTCATTTTCAGTTAATGCTTTTGGTCAGCAGAGATCCAAAGCTTGGCCTGCACATTTTTTAGCATTGATATAACTAGACAGTGATGTATAATTGTAGGAAATTAAAAAAAGTGACAGCAAATAGGTAATATTGCTTCAGACAGTAATACCAAATGCATGATAACATTGCAGCAGAGTTCTCATGGGCTTTTTAAATTTGTTTTTGTTTTGTTGTCTCCTTCAAGGCTCTGCTTCTCCTTTTATGAAAACCCGGAGGCCAAGTCTCATTTCCACAGTTCCATTCTTGACCCACACCTCTCTCCTTCCCCTCTCAGGAAGATTCCCACTCCCACTCCTCTACCACACAGTCTGGAATTCATCATTCTCCACCCTTTTGTCTCATTCAATCCCATAATCACAACTACAGTGTGTCAGTGTGGGCACTACATCAGCAGCTCAGGCTCATTCCCTTCATTATGTGCAATCATCCAAATTCTGCTCATAATTCTATCAAATGAACAGGAGAAGGGAAAAAAAAAAAGCCCTAAAAACACCCCAAGAAACTTTTACCCAATGCCAGTGACTCGTGTCAGGAAATTGATAGAAGAGCTTGTATCATCCTGCCGAATCTACAAAACCAAAACAGTGAAATAAACAAACAAAATGAAACCTCAAGAAGATAAAAGAGCTCAGTCAGGTCAGACTCTGGTTTAGAGGTTCACTACAAAACAGCACCAAGCCTTACAATAATGCCACATGTAACAAGCCTGAAAACCCCCAGCTGGCCATGCTAAAGTGAGCAGGATTAAAGCACAAACTCCAGAGCCTTCCAGCAAGATCTCCACTTCTGACAGAAGACCTGCACATGCTGATTATGTAAGCTAAAATATTTTAATAAATAGACAGTTTTGAGGCTTTGGCTGAGCTTCTCAATCCTTGATTTGTACTTATCATACCACCACTCCTAAGAGTCTCCAGGGACAACAGAAACGTGCAGAGCAAACAGGCTGCTTTGCAAGTTATCAAGAAAAGCAGGTATTGAGAAATACAGAACAGGAGAAAGACACTCACCTTTTCCAATTTACGAAGCTTTCCAGTGGATAAGAACTCATCTATCTTTTCAGCTATTTTAGCACCCACTCCATCCTAAATATTGGGGGGTGAGTACAAACAAGTTAACTTAAAAATCACTTAAAGTCAGTATATGTGGGAAGCAAGGAAAACTCCCTAGAATTTAGAGTCCAGAAAGAACTATGGGGCACCCAAGACCACAATAAAATATTGGAGCACAAGAATTCAAGGGTACAACATAAATGGCATAAACACTGTAATGCAAGGGCTATATCACGTTTACATAGCAATAAGTTTGAACAAGGTTTGATTCTTATTGCTCAAGACCTCTGAATTAACAAAGGAGTGAGAGAGCAAAGGGGAAAGACATTTTTACAGGCAGAGGCTCAGATGGGATGGCCAGTTCCAGCTCTGGAACCCCCACAGTGGCCACACCCGGTCCGTGCTCCCAAACTCTGACTGGGGTAGCGGAAAGAGGCACTGGGAGAAGCGGGGCTGCCTCCAAGGCTTCCAGGAACCCCGGGCACCTCATCCCCACTCCCCAGGAACCTTGGGCACCTCATCCCCACTCCGGCTGCCCCCCATCCTTCCCAGGAACCCCGGGCACCTCATCCCTGCTCTGGCTGCCCCCTATCCTTCCCCCAGGAATTCCTGGCACCTCATCCCTGCTCCCCAGGAACCTCTGGCACCTCATCTCTGCTCTGGCTGCCCCCAACGCTTCCAGGAACCCCGGGCACCCCATGCCCAGCTCCGACTGCCTCCACGTTCCCCGGGAACCCCCAGCACCTCATCCCTGCTCCCCAGGAACCCCCCCAGCACCTCATCCCTGCTCCGGCAGCCCCTCATCCTTCCCAGGAACCCCGGGCACCTCATCCCTGCTCCCCTCGACCCTCCGGACACTTCATCCCCACTCCGGCTGCCCCCCATCCTTCCCAAGACCCTCCAGCACCTCATTCCCACTCCCCAAGAACCCCGGGCACCTCATCCCCATTCCCCAGGAACCCCCGGGCACCTCATCCCCGCTCCGGCTGCCCCAGCTCCTCCCGGGGCAGCCCACACTCGAGCACCTACCAGCTTCTTGGCTTCAGCCCCACTCTGTATCTTGCTGGGATACCGAGATATGACCGAGGCCGCTTTCCTGCGGAGCAGTGCCGGTCAGCGCCCGAACGGGCTGGAGCCCGGCACGGGGCACGGCGTGAGGGGAAGGGAGCGGTACCTGTACGCGTTGTACTTGTGGATGGCCCGGTTCACGTTGCGCTCGTAGTTGGCGAGCTCTGCGGGAGAACCGCGGTGAGAGCAGCCGGGCCGCGGCCCTTCCCACCCACAGACCCGAGCGAGCGCGCACACCTACCGATGAGGAAGTCGGTGATGCCTTCATTGAGGCTCTCCTGGGGAGCTTTGCGCTTGCTCATGGCCGGCACCGGCACCGGCACCGGCACGGAGCGGCGGCCGGGGCTGCGGGCAGCGATGGCACCGAGGCGCTTCCGGCAGTGGCGTCACGGCGCGTCCGGTGCCGGGGGCGGGCGGGGCCGGGGGTGTGGAGAACGCCGATCGCTTGTTTTTTAAATGTTAAAAGTTTAATAGTAATAAAAAAAGTTTAATAGTAATAAAATGTGCTTCCGGCTGTGGCGTCACGGCGTGTCCGGTCCTGGTGCGCGGGCGGGGAACGCTCCTGCTCGGCCCGCAGGCCCCCTTGCTTTAGGCCTGTCTTTTTTTATAATAAATGCTGAAATCACTTTAGTACCGGCATCCCGTTCCCGTTTTTAACATGTCTACCTCGCATATGTGAGATTTTTGGCCAGTCTGCTTCAGCGGTGCTGTTCCAGGCTGAATCAGCAGCTATGGTCTTACACCGGAGCAACCCAGTTTCAAAATACTAGAATACCGAGTTCCACAATAGCAAAGTAATCTAGTTTTACAATACCAGAATATCAAGCTCCAAAATACAGCCACACACCCAGTCTGTAACACATCCTCTTCCTTTTCCCCTGTAATCAATGGGGCAGCTTTCCAGGCCTTTATTTAGCCCAGACTTCTCTGTGTGTTGTGACCTTGGAAGAAACCTTTGCTTTTGCTTCCCTCCCAAATTGCTTTAAGGTTGCCCTCATTCTCTCTAATGACTTTAAATCACTGGGTTTGATGTCTAGTTTATCTTCCCAAAATATAACACCTCTGACTGTGTCAAATTCCCTCCTTAATCCCCTTGGCATCTCTGATCACTGAAGACTGGAGTTGGATAAACTCTCCCAAGTAGCTTTTGACATCTTTCAAGAGGCAGATGGATGCCATACAAGATCCATCATGCTTTCCTTGGTGTCAGAAAGGTTTTGCTATTAAAGATTAAGGAGGCTTGAGGTCACTCCAAATCACAATATTGCTCGCTTTATAAGCCAATTTCATCCTGTCATCTGGTATTTTGTGTTCCAGTTGCTTCAGAGGAGTCTACAGCATTCATCAATTCACTGGAGTTTAAGCACTGAGTGGTTCCTTAAATGTCTCCAAAGTCAAGCCATTTATCTTTTTCACTGTATTTTATTGTCTCTGTTTTCCCTGACTTACAAACCTCCAGCACAACAGTGAGCTCTGCTTGCTTTGAGAGCTGGTGCCTCACAACGGGATCCTGAAGAAAGAAATCCTTGGGGAATGAAACCCCTCTACTGAAATACTATTTTAAACAAAAAGGATAAAAAGAAAAAATTAGAGGTCAAAACACAGTCCAAAAGATTATTTTTAATTATTTCTCAGACTCAACACTGAGCTTTCCAAGCCCAAATCCTTATTTTACATATATATATAAAATAATATATAATGCATACAATAATATACATAAGATATAAAATAATATATAATATTATATTTTATATATGTGTGTATATATATATAAAATGCAAGCCTCAAAAGTGGGGAGAAGAGCATTACTTTTAAATCCTCAAAGCCCACATTTGGCAGACCAAAGAATAGATTTGAGGTACAAACCCACTCTCTGGGACTACAAAACCACACTCTTAAGCTCCAAGGCTTATGATTTTATGGCACAAAGCCTCATTTGAAGGGCCCGGAGCATCATTTTTTAAAAGTCTGATCTGGAATAGTGGTGGGACTGTGATGTCACACAGAGGCTGTGACACAGCAGGACAAGAGGGGCTGCAGGGTGGTGGGTTCTGCACTCTGGACAGAGCTCTGAGGGTGAACATCCTTCACCCCTGAGGGTGAACATCCTCACCCCTGAGGCCATGGCTGCTGACAGTGGTGTGAACCCATCCCAGATGGATTTCTGGGGTGGGATGCAGTTCGTGCCCATGATGCCCAACATCAGCCCCACAGGTACAGGAGCATTGCTGCCCTCTCAGGGGTGCAGGGAAAATCAGCTGGAGCTGGGGACAACAGTGACACACAGCCCAAGGGGTGCTAGAAGGCTGAGACCCAGCAGAAACACAGCAAAACCTGGTTCTTGGGGAAGATGAAACAGGAAAGCCTTATAAATATGATTGTCTGGTAAAAGATTTGGAGAATATAGAAACTATAAACGAGACTGAAATGAAAGCAAGCTTTGAGATCCCTCAGTTACTGAACAACTGGAAAACAATGGTGTGGCTGGCTGAAGGTGATCCCCTTTTGATGGAACAACACCCTCTGCTTGCAGACAGCTCCAAGGCTCAGAGCAGACCCTACAGCTTGGCAGAAGGGGCCCAAAGAGGAGTTTTTAGGGTTTAAAATGTAACACAGGATGGAAATGTAATGATTCTTATAGGCTGTATGTAAATGCTGTAGGATTTGTATCTTGTACTAGATTGGTTAGTGAGAATTAGAATATTCAACACAGAAGAAGATTTATTGTATTGGAACGGGAACTTTGCTCTCTTACCTCTTGTCTCTTAGCTCTTACTCTCTTACCTCTTACCTCTTGTGTCTTAGCTCTTGCCTTTTACTCTCTTACCCCTTTTACTCTCTTATGCTTTTGCTCTCTTGCCTCTCTTTCCCTCTCATCCTCTCTCCCCCTCTCTTCCTTCAGGCCTGCTCTGAGCTGTGGCTGGCAGCTCCAAACAAGGCCCCTGCACTTGGCCCTCTGCAATAAACTCCAAGTTCCATGACCAGAAGATTTATTGTATTGTAACAGGAACCTCTGATCCTCTCTTTTACTCTCTTATTCTCTCTTTACCATGCTCTTGCCTTCTCTCTCTTTACCTCTCCCTCTCTCAGGCCTGCTCTGAGGTGTGGCTCGAAGCTCCCAGCAGAGCCCTGCAGCCAGGCCCTTTGCAATAAACCCCAAATTCCACCACCTGGCTGCAGAGATCTCTCATCTCCATCCACCCTGACCATGCAACCCCCCTGATGCTCCAACACCTGCTATTTCCTTGTTTTCCAGAGCGAGAGGCTGTCTGGGATGCAGTGGCCGGCAACATCCGACAGCAGCTGCTGCTGCGCAAGGTGGGCCAACACCCTGGGACAACACCCTGGGACAACACCCTGGGACAACACCAACGTCCTCCTTTTCCCACCCAGAAGAGCAGTGAGGAGTCCCCATGGCACTCCTCATGGATCATGGCCTGCACTTCCCCTTGCCCTCCTCAGAATGCGGGAAGCCCACCCCAAAATCCCCTGCTGAGGGACAAACGGAGCTTGTGCAAGACTGGTGTCACCTCTGGGAGGTGGCATTGCCACCGGAGACTGGGGTTGTCCTCAAGCTGCCTCTGTCTGACTCCAGCATGGATTTTTTGGTGGGAGAAGGGAAAAAAGAGGCCCCAGCATCTCCTCCTCAGAGTTCTCCCCACTGTTCTGACCTCTGAACAGTGGGAGTTGGCAGAGTTTGGTCAGAGGCTGTGATGGTGTTCACAGGGGTTCTTGGATTGGGGAAGAGATGAGGATCTGACTCCATGTTTCAGAAGGCTTGATTTATTATTTGATGATATATATTATATTAAAACTATACTAAAATAATAGAAGACAAGGTTTCATCAGAAGGCTGGCTAAGAATAGAATAGAAAGAATGATAACAAAGGCTTGTGGCTCGGACAGAGAGTCTGAGCCAGCTGACTGTGATTGGCCATTAATTAGAAACAACCACATGAGACCAATCACAGATGCACCTGTTGCATTCCACAGCAGCAGATAACCATTGTTTACACTTTGTTCCTGAGGCCTCCCAGCTTCTCAGGAGGAAAAATCCTAAGGAAAGGATTTTTCCTAAAATATGTCTGCGACAAAAGGCACCATCCATTGATGGAATCATCCTCAGCTCTTCCTTCTGTCCAGTTCTCACCCTTTGGGCCTTTCCCTTCTGCTCCAGGGGATCCGAATTCCCACCCTTGGCTCCTTTGACGTGGTGCACACAGAGACCGTGGTGGGGAACAAGACTGTGATCCTGCAGAGGCCAGTGTTCCACCTGGCCAGGAATCTTGGAGGAGCCCAAAACCGGGAAAACAAGGATGACCTGGCTGGTAATACAGAGCATTTAACCCTGTGGGCCCAGGGTGGAGTAGGAGATCACACCACATTTCTAAAAGCATCTCTTGGGAAACGCCTTTGGCCAAGAACTGGGGAGGTCTTGGGTTGCTGTTGATATTCTCTGCCCCGAGATGTGCAGGATGTCTCTGCTTCAGCCCGTGCAACTGAAGAACGAGTCTGGACTCTTCACTTTTCTGTCTTGAAGTTGTTTATTAATTCTTATCTGTAAAATTTTCTTTCTGCCCAGCCGAGATTTGCTCAGCAGGGCAGCCACAGGCACTCTGTGTTGTCCTTTTATACTACAAACTACGTGTAACATATTTACACTTAATTCCCAATACCTATCACCTGTGTTAGACAGTGCACTTCTACTCTAAACCAACCCCAAAGTGCCAACATCACTGCAGAAAGTGGAGAACAAGAAGAAGAAGAAAGAAGGACTAGACACGCCCTGAATCCTCCATCTTGTCCCCATAACCCCCATACCAAAAATCCTAAAATCTACATTTTCACCCTGGGAATATTTTGTTATTACACCATTCAAAGCTGTGTGACTTTCAGGTCCTCATACAAAGCTGGCAACTTGCTGCAAGGGTCAAAATCAAATCTCCAGGTGTTGTGGGGAGCATGCCAGGGTCTCCAAGCCCCCTAACGTGATCCTCGGCAACTCTGGACGCCCAGAGGGATGTGCTGAGTTCCCACAGGGAAGTTCCACGTGGCACCTTCCCATCTCTGTGGTTTTGCAGGGGGTAAGCAGCTGCAGCCTCTGAAATACGCCAGGGTGGCCACGGAGGCCTCTGTGTCCCGGCGAGAGGCGGAGGGCTGCATCCTTGGCACCATGTCCCTGCTGTACCACTGCCTGGAGAAGGGCGTGAGCGTGGCCTTGGTCCTGAGGGGCGTGGGTGTGCTCCTCATTGAGGGCAGCATGGTGCTAATGAGGTTCTACCCGGACTTGCTGGAAAAGGTGAACGGGGAGAGGATCCAGGACAAGGCTATGCTCAAGGTGAGCCTTTTGTTTCCCCCCTGCTTG